CCAGGCGCCGGACCGACCTGGACAATCGGTTTCCAGAGCCGACTTTTCTTTTGGTCGTCCCGATATCATGTTTTGGGGCCTCTTCTTTGGCATTTCGGGGCGCGAAACGCTGCCGCCCGTGTATTTTTCCCCTGCGTATTATAGGACTCGGACGGGACCAAAAATAATTTTTTTTTTCCCGCATCACAAGTGAAATTCGTAGTTTGATACAACTGCGGCGTAGTCGGTGCAATCAGGAAAACAGAAATCGGCTATATAAATACGGATAAATCGTAGTTGGTTTGGCATCTCTGCTAACCACTATCACTGCACGCACGCACGCCACGCACCTAGCACACGCTCGCGAGCCCTCCCAGCTTCCAAGGTAGGCATTCCTCAAAAGCGTTCATTCCACTGCGCATCATCAAGCAGGTCCATGTCCATCAACGAAGATTTGTTCGAGCAGCGGTCGAAGATGCGCTCGGGCGCAGCCCTTCATCATTCACCATCTAGCCGCTTGTCGTTCGCGGCGTTCATCCGCTCTTATGAATGGACAGCCTGCAATGATCGGGCGTTGGCACGTGACACGGGGACTGACGTACGCTGGAGCGCGAGCGCTGACAGGAACGTGGAGCACGGCGGAGCTGACTGTACGCGTCGCACCCCCCTGGAACGAGTTGACCCTACGTGTGACATGGGGGGGGGGGGTTAGTCGCCGAGCGGGAGCGTTGACAGGACGCTGAGAAACCGCGTGTGACGCACGGCTATGGGACCACCTCTACATGCATGGAGCGCCTCTAGAAAGTACACTGTCAGCATTTCTCTGAAGTGGCATCTGTAAGGTGAAATCACCGCAACAGAAACAAAACTGGTCTATAAAGGACACTTTTCTTACAAGACGGGAGATTAACTCTATTAACTATGCTTTCTAAAATGACCTTACAGCACAAATTATCCAATGCTAAACGCTCGATTGTGTTTTAAAAGATGCCAGAATGCACACGTTGATCTTTAACAGCATTTGTGTGTGAGAACACAAGGCTAGCTAGCAAAGGTAGGAATATTTTACATAGAATTTATTAGCACACTAAGGAACATAAACTGAAAGACGGACACGGACCTGGTACTTGTTTGTCGAGTTGAACGCGGATCTCCTAACCTTTGGCGTTCCTTCTTGCGTGTCTCCAAGACGCCCACCGATGGACGCTCAACATATTTCGGCAGAGCTGATTCGGACGCATCGCCGGTACACTCACTACGGCGCGGACGCAAATCAGATCATGTAACGGCGGGTTTCGACACATACTGCGCAGTCTAACAGGATAACGAGTGCCAGTTAAGACGCTTTACATGCGTAAATACAATTAATTTCCTCCATGTTCATTCAGAGCAGTTCTCGTGAATTTGAAATCGATCGATAAAACGATCGACGGCCATATTGATACTCGACAAGAATCAGCTTGGCATGCATCGCCTGGTAGCATAGCATAGTCAGCTACCCAACATAGTTTTTGAATTAGAGTTGCAGAGGTTTTCGAAACTACAAGGTTACAAATCGTCACGGAAGGTGACTTTACTATAGAGCAATATTGCGTCAGGCAATCGCATTGATCTGCAATCGCTTAAACTTAAGTTATTCATGCAATCGATTAAACTTATTTTAGGTCATGCAATCGATTAAATGGGGTCACATAAATGCTTAAACTTATATATTGGTCATGTAATCGTTTAGCGAATGTTACCGTCTTAGTATGGGCAGATCGTCTTGTCCCTCCTTAAATTCTCTGCCCTATTGCAAAGGTTGCAACTTGGGCTAATGCCTTCCATCCTGAAGCACTTTTCTTCAAACGTTTCGCCTACAAGTTGACAAAATAAAGACATCGTTAGTTCAATGTCCCATTTATCTACTTCAAGCGACGAAAAATTGGGCCCAAGATTATGTGAATTTTTCATCGTTTGTGATGAAGCGTGTGCTTGTCGCGTGTGTGCACGCAAGTGTATCTACGTTAATGCACGTATATGGTTTAGCAGCAATAATACTTTCTAACGTTAGCACGGATGCAAGATTGTTTGCTCGATAGATGGTTTTTGTGACAGCAGCTAAAGTTAACATCAATGTTTTGTCCCAGGATGATTTCAAGACGCAAGTGCCGTTTCACATCGACAATGAAAGTTTGCACAGTTTCCCCTGTTTTCAGCTCAAACTCTATTTCCCACCCTTCCTCACTAGTATGGTGAAAATAGCTTTAAAGGCCTTTTCACTCCAACTCAGGTACGACCTAAATTATTCACGCTCCGGTTTTATCTCCCAGCGAACATGATTGTGGAAGTGATTTACGGGAGGGATACGCGTGTCTACGACGCGCCTCACGTGCACGCACCAGATTGGTCCTCAGTGGTGTGCTTCCCAGATGGCGTTGTCATACCAACATGTGAGCGACGCGTCATCGCCGTCTGCGTCAGCGGCCGGTCTTGTCGAGCAAGTTGGTCGACGTGCGAGCCCAGCGTCTCGACAGCCTCCAGGTCTTAACGAGGCAGTTTTTTGAAGCCATGCGTTTCGCGGTGAGAGTCAGGCACACCTGGTGAGCGGAACAGAACGCCGTCCCTCTCCTCCCAACCTGCCACCACCTAGCCCCGCCGGTAGTTACCGTGACGGTGGCTAGCAGACCCTCAGGTACGTTCCCCTCCTTCCCTCTCCTCCCAACCTGCCACCACCTAGCCCCGCCGGTAGTTACCGTGACGGTGGCTAGCAGACCCTCAGGTACGTTCCCCTCCTTCCCTCTCCTCCCAACCTGCCACCACCTAGCCCCGCCGGTAGTTACCGTGACGGTGGCTAGCAGACCCTCAGGTACGTTCCCCTCCTTCCCTCTCCTCCCAACCTGCCACCACCTAGCCCCGCCGGTACTTACCGTGACGGTGGCTAGCAGACCCTCAGGTACGTTCGCGACGATGATGCCGATCAGGAAGATGACGGCGTCGAGCCAGAAGTAGCCGAGGATGAAGGCGATGACAAAGAAGCTGACGCCGAGGAAGACGGCGACGCCCGTGATCACGTGGATGAAATGCGCGATCTCCTTGGCGATGGGCGTGTCGCCGGTGTCGAGGCCCGAGGCGAGGTTAGCGATACGGCCCATCACGGTGCGGTCGCCCGTGCTGATGACGACGCCCGTCGCCGAACCTGCACGCCCGCACGCGCGCGAAAAACAAGAGCACGCGTAAATTTCATTTTAGATTATCAACGATAATAATAGAAACAACAGTTTCATTCATCACTCTAAAATGATTAAATGATATTTTTAATGGTTATTATTTGTAACAATTTTTAATAATTCTTATTCTTGATTTTTTCATTTTTTATTCATATAAAAAATTCCATTTATCAATTGTCATTTATTATGATGCAAAACTTGAGCGGCGACTCCTCACACAAGGCAGGGTGTCTTTTAAGACTTGGGTACACTGGAACATTTTTGGGGAAATCAGGTAAATTTACCTATCCACCTGAAAGAGATTCATTTTGATATTCTTGCTATGGCAGTCAATTTAGACCAGTTTGTATACGATACCACATGTCTGCATGCCGAAAACAGAGACTTTGCGGTACTTTGTTGCCGAGCAATATTTTTTAGCATGTCCTATTACAACACTGATTGATCACGACAGGCAGATAGGTAGACGATGTTGTTACGGTTCAGGGGTGTCTTCATGCGAGGGAAACCAGCCATAAATGTCCCAGTATTCCAGCCTTCAAAAAATACTGCTGCCAAGGGAGTGAAGTTACCATTGGCATGCAACATGAGCTTAGAACTGATCGACCAGACAAGATTCATATTTCATATTTCATCTCTCAGTCGAAAGTTAATGTGTTCGTAAATTAGCAATTTTGAATAATCTTCATGCGTGCGCTAGGTGAAATGAGGTAAATAAGCAAAAACGATAATTTATCAAAAGAATTTTGATACAGACAGGCTATCGCAAGTAAACCTTGCCTAAACGCAGTGAAATGCCTAAATCTAATAATTCCACCTAGTAATAAATGTAGAGCTTAACTGTGACTGTAGGCTTATATATACATATATAATGGTGGTCACGAAATACAGCACAGCATATATACATCATGCCAAGAAAGCCAACATTCAACATTCAATTGTGCAATATTTAATATCTCACTTCCCCCACCAGTCTGTCTGAGTGATGTTTGTCAGCCAATCAGCCAGCCAGCCAGCCAGCCAACCAGCTAGCCAGCCAGCCAGCCAACCAACTAGCCAGCCAGCCAGCCAGCTAGTCAGCCAGCCAGTCCGCCCGCCCGCCCGCCCGCCCGCCCATTTCCCTCTCTGCAACACAAGACATTAAAAATAATCCCCCGTAATAAGGCAAATAAATTGCGCATTGCATGTACCTTCTACCGCATTGGTAGAAAAGAACGCAATGTTGCGAGTTTCCAACGGGTTATCGTTTGTTAACTCGGGCGTGCGGCTCTGCGCTTCAGATTCACCGGTTAGCGAGCTATTGTCAACCTGTTTCAGAAAAACATAGGAGCAAAACAAGGAGAAAGATTAGTCGACTACCACCACAACCGAGCCATAGCGGCCATGCACTATGAAAGCGTTACCGCATGCAAGACCATGCCTCGTGCAAAACCACACAGCATGCGAAAGCACCTGACCAGCTCAACCACGCGCACGTGCGATGCAGCGGCCACGCCGTGCGTGATGGTGAGAGATGAATGGTGGCTGTGTGAAACACGTTCACCCACGTCGTCCACATCTCCATCATCACGCACACGCCGAGACTGCGGTACATCGCACCCACCCCTGGTCATCTGTTAGGCGCGTGAGGGCGAGAGAGAGAGAGAGGGGGGGGGGAAGGAAAGGAAGGAAAGAGAGAAAGAGAGAGAGAGAGAAAGAGGGGAAGGAGAGAGAGGGGGAATGCACGGTGCAGGGTGCATGCACGACTGAGAGCTCCAGTGCCGACCGTGAACAAGTGTTTCTCCGCATGTCTTTGGAACTACACCGGCCACATTTTTCCACACCCCTCCCACCCAATTCCGCCCCCAACCGCCCGTCTCACCCGACACCAGTGAGGCGGTGACCGAAAAAACGTAAAGACTCGCGGAGAAACAATCGAAGGGTCGACAGGAGGCTCCCCACGCACACCGCGTCGGCGCCGCGGCACGAACCTTCGACAGCGTTCGTCGAGAAGAAGGCTATGTTTCGCGTTTCGAGCGGATTATCGCTAGTGCTCTCCGGCGTGCGCGACTGCGCTTCCGACTCCCCCGTCAGAGACGAGTTGTCCACCTGGCGAGCGTAAAGCAGTCGCTACACTCGTCGGCACATGCCGGCTCAAACGCAGCCGGTTAGCACAGCGGAATTGCAGTAGATTGGTCAGTTACCACAGCAAAATGGTAGTAGATTGGTCAGTTACCACAGCAAAATGGGAGTGGATTGGTCAGTTACCACAGCAAAATGGGAGTGGATTGGTCAGTTACCACAGCAAAATGGGAGTGGATTGGTCAGTTACCAAAGAAGAGTATGGCGAGTAACCACAGCAACACTCCACAGTCACGTGGAGGGGTGTCTATTGGTGAATACCTGGAAAGTGTGCATGCTAGTTCTCTGCGACAGAGTGCAGATTGGCGCCCACCCTTTTCTGCTACCACCAGACACATGCGTCAATCCCAACTGGAGAACTAGTACTGGACTGTAACCATTTTTGACCCCCACAAACCAGAAATGTTTTTGGTAATAAAATCACTACAGTGTAGCCTTATAACGCGATGGTTGAGGTCCATAAAATGTCATCGCGAAAAAAAGCGGCATTGTGCTAAATCGGGGTTATATATACGTGGCTATATAAGTGCAAAAAAAAGTGCATCACGTTATATCTGAATTTGTGTTAAATCGGGGCGCGTAAAATCGGGGTTCCACTGTATTAGTAAGATGTCTTCATCTATGTCTTCCTATTTCACCAGCCAGTTAAAGCATTCCGCTATTCGCTCTTCAAATATTGGAGCTTCCCCAACTCTCGTTTTTAATAAACCATTTTATGCAACTGCCTCCCCACAACACCTCAGCTAGAATAGTCACGACCTTAACACATATTTACTTGGGTTTACAGCAAAGCAAATAACGTAGATATTATGTGCCCAGTGCATATCTCAGCAAACTGATACCAAAGGCAAATCAGACTTAAATGTTGTTATCTATCAATCAGTCAATACCTATACATTTGATATTTTCAATGAGACGGTATGAACCTATGCTTGGGTAGAGGTTAAATTAAAGGCACTAAGAAAGGAATTTCCATCAAACAATTCTGCAATTCTTTCTCATCTGCAATTACACATAACCGTCACATTACTAAAAAATAATAAATGAAGGGGTTAAGAACACGTTTGCAGGCATCAAACCCCAACCCCACTCACCTCAACTCATCCTCTCTTTTCTTGATTAATTTCCCTGCACTAAGACCCGATCTGACCACCGCTCCACACATCGCGCACGAGGATTCCCCCTTCCCCACCCCGCCCCGAGACCCTCGCCTGTGTTAGTGGCAAATCTACGGGGATGGGAGGAGCGGGAACGATGCGAGCAGGAACGGTGCAACGCGCGCGCGACCCCGACCTTGAAGCCGTGTGCGACGATGATGCGCACGTCGGCAGGGACGCGATCGCCAAACTTCATCTCGACGATGTCCCCGACGACGAGCTCCTCCGCACGAATAGTCTTCTTGCCTCCGTTCCGCAGCAGCAGCGCGTGCTGGAAACGAGAGAAGAGAACGTGAGTCGTCATAGCAACGAGAGAATGATTGAATTTTAGGCTCAGGTTTGAAGTTTCGAATTTTCACTTTCCAGTTTCCACACGCGCGAATCCGTTTGCAGCCGGATCTCGTATATTGATGGTGATTGATTCCGACAAAACTATCTTTGTGTCAAAATATTGCTAGACAAATTTGGAAACATCTTCAGCGTGATGCCGTACTCATATCATAATGCAAAACTTGCAATAAAATTGCACTGCCATACGGGCTCCTACTTACTGTTTTCGGCGAGTTATTATGTCTGCACTTTTAAAGTGCAAACGTACTAGCAGCCTATGTGCTTTCAGACAGCGACCATGCATGCAGTACATGTGGGCAAGTTAGTTTGCAACTGACAAAACTATGCTGAAAACTCGCTGGACACGTTTCCGATTGCCTAAGAGTCTAATCTATTTATAGAACAATGAACGTGTTTATTCACCTGCGGGACCAAATCCTTAAACGATTCCATGATTTTCGAACTCTTCGCTTCTTGGTAATACGAGAAGCAACCTGTGACAACTACTACTGCCGTAAGTACGATACCTAAATAGAGCTGAAATGAGACAAAGTAATATATATTACTATTAGATAGGAATTTCACTCAACAATGAGAAAATTGACACACGACTTTCCACGTTAAAATACAAGACGATTATATATGGAGATAATATCTTCAACAAAACAAAAATTAACGAAAGATATATCTGAGCATTGTCAACTAAATTCTTGGCCAATGACCTGAATTGGCCCAGCCGAGAGAGAAGCAGGTAAGGCCAACAAAAAAACTTTCTTTGGTTTTTACCCATCTGACACACCGATAACGTTTTCCTTTGCTAGATAAAACAATTCTAGATAGATTACAGCCGCAATTGTTGCCGCAATTGTTGCAGCAATAATTGCTGCATTGACACAACAAAGAAAATGATGTCATAAAACGGTATCAATACAACTTTTCATAAAATTCTACTATTTATACTAAAATTTATTCACCCACTAATCTGCCATCTGCCAAAATGATAACAACAGGGGCAAAATCAGAATGTTTTTAAAGATAGATCTAGACCAAGCCCAACAATTTACACAAGAAAATTATTTCATGCCCTAACTCATTTTTGTTCATTCACTACTGACAAATAGTGAGAACCAGACTGAATAGAATGAATTAACGTTATGGCAGTAAAGGACAGAATACGGCTTAGAAATGCCAGCGTTTATTGAAACACGGATCACTTGTCCGCACCAGGAAGTCATCATCTGTCTGTAAATTCCATCTCTTTTGGCGATTTAGGTATGCATAGTACCAACCAACATATCGTGTGATTGGCACTCGTGGCTCAACTCTCAACTGTTTACACAATTCCTATGTAGTCAAAGTTAAGATTTACCACACGAGTGACACGCATGACGTAAAACGGCTGCCTTCACCGGTACAAAGGTTGCTTAAATACACAGTCTTCAGCGATAAATGAGCTTCTGTTCTTACTATCAGCATGTTATACACGATTAGTAGGAATCCACTCCCAAAGGTGTTCAGATTATTCGTATTCGTATTATTACATAGAACTCGTAACATTAATAAAGGTTCCCACTCCATAGAAGCCTACGATCGCATGGTTCATTTTCCAACAGAGCCACAATAAGTAACTCGATTCTACAGTTACTGCTGATCACGGACAAATCCTTCAAGATTAAACCATTCCAACAATATCTGGAGGCATGAGATATATTGTCTAATTCAGTCACCCACTAAAGAATGCCCATTGCTAATTGATTTGATTGGATTAGGAAACAGCGAGATATATAAAACAGCTTTACATTAAATTCATTCACTATTACAACTACGTCAATTCAAGCAAATTGCTTCACGAAAACGTTAAACAGATACAATTTTTTTCTATAACCCAACTGACGACCATGAAAACCTACATCTACCTAAGTGTTGCTGCCTAACTCAGACACCAGCATAATGTCGAATAATTAAAGAAGGCTAATTTCACATTGATCTCTTTGCCTGATGAACAATACTCTAGGCATCACCCTGCAACGATTAATTAACAATCAGGTATATTGAAACGTACGCCAACAGAAAAGCACCAAGTGGTACGCTTCCACGGGGGTGTAAAGTTATGGTCACTAGCTTACAGGTGCTTTCACACTGACCACTGCCAAACAGTAACAACGCCTCTCGATTATTTCCAAGTGCCTACTAAAACCTAACTGCTTCTTTGTTTTACTTAACAGCTACTGCCCCTAACTGCCCCCCATATGCACGCGGGGTTCGGTTTTTCGTGATAAAGTACAAGTGTTTGAAAACCTGTTTGCGAAAACCCGTCACGGCGCCTGCACGCTAGTAAATCCCGATTTATTGATTTTTTGTCACAATTTTTACATGCAACTACCATGGTCCAGATGGATAGGTTGGGCGAAAAAACCACACAATCCATTGCTGATCCAGAAGTGAAAATCAATCACGGGTTAGCAGATTAGTGCTAAATTTGAACCCTGCACATGTACGGTATCGAATAACTGGTGTCAGCTACTTACATTGTCTCCTGCGGGGTCGTCCTCTGTACTGGCTTGAATCGAGTAAGCTACGAAGCACAATATAGCACCTATCCACAGCAAGAGCGCAAATCCACCGAACAACTTCTGGCAGAATTTCACCCACTCTGGGATTTTCTTTGGAGGTGTTAGTGCATTCGGCCCATCGCGAGCGTAGAACACAGCTGCCTGTTCATCCGTCAGACCCTATCCAATAAACAGCACCATTCAAATTACATATAAATAAGTGCACATTTTCGCCGTACATTAGAGAGGAAAGAATTCTATATCTGCGACAAGATATGCGAGCGCTGAAACTTCGGGTTATTGGGTCAACTTTGCTATTATGTTCATTAATTCTAAGTAATTAAGGGAAAACAATTTTAAAATATTTTCTGTCGAATATAGCTAGAAATCAGCTTCTGGTGATGCTGAAATCATTCCCCAATAGTGGAAACATATGACTCACGTGCTCAAGACTTGATCCGTATCTCGCTAACAACTCGTCCATGGGGATTTTGTGTTCATCCTGTTTGAGAGAAAATAATTACTAGAATAAGCCCGAACTAGAGTGGTGACCGTGAGGCGTGAGGGCTATAGCTGCAACGTTTAATTAAACGAAACAAAGTCCTAAATAAGAGCAACTGCAATTATAACCTTAGAATAGAGAATATCACACCACGCGGCCCTAGCTCGCCTGCACGCCGAGGCGTCTCATCGTTTACCACACTCACCATATCGAGCTCCTTCTTGAGATCATCCAAATCCTCCTTGTCCCGCGACTTCTTTTTCTTACCCTTCTCCTTCGCATCCCGCCCGGAATTTGATTTTGCCGGCGCCCGGAAGTCATCGTTCTGCTGAAAAGGAAGAACATTGACAACGACATGAGTAATTTTCACTGACAGACCAAGCTCTGGGCACAAACTGTGAAGACTCAAACACAGACGTTAACTGTGCGAATGAAACACATGCGGCACGCAATATATACACGTTCGATTTAGCTGACATTGTAGGACAACACACGATCAAATGTTGTCAAAATTACATCAAAATGCACTGTTAGCATTACCATTCATACCGATACTTTCCTACACGTGTAACAATCAGTACACAACCAACATCATCCCATTTCATAGAATTATGCACGCATCATTGATCAACACCTATTTCAAAATTTCCATACGTACACTAAAGTTAATGACAGAGTTTTCCGATATTAAAACTGCTACAGCTTAGTCAGTACCTTTGTTGGGGGCATCCTTCACTTTAGAAGGTGCAGGTATCAATGCAGACTTCCAATACAGCTAGAGCACGACCTCACGGGCACCTCTGTCTAAACCCACTGGGACACAACTACACGTGCTAATTCAGAGTTTCACATCAAATATCATATACTGCTGGCAAACAAACCTTTGACCTTAGCCTGCACTTAGTATAAGTCTTCGCTGCTCCATTCTAGCCGTGTTTACCTACCCCCTGTGTTACATACATGTACGAATAATGAACCAGTTCGTACTTGGTTTATAAAACCATTGGACCATAATTTATAGCTCATTCAGTGAAGATTTGATGCTAGCATTGTCTTGCTTGAACTGACTAGAATACAATAACTTTATAAGCAAGCTGATAATTTAATAGCATACTAAGCATACATTAATAATTTCGTAGCTCTTAGTCTATGCTCCAGGTGCATCATTAAATATTTATAAGGTTAATGGCTTTGCAATACATACGGGGTATATCTACTACGCGCGTAAATATACCCCAATATAAATGGGTTTCTCCTACCATAACTGTTTGTATAGATTTATAACCGGGTGGCCAGTGAATTACTTGGCTGAATACACCGCTGTATTTGGTCCTCTAGTCCTGCTAATATAGAGATAGCTGCATTTTATACTCAATCCATACAGCTGCCATTCACAGCAACTCAAAGCCAATGCCTCAATGCCCACCTAAGCTTCCTGATCAGCCGGCCGTATTCCTGTAGGCAGTGTTTGCAGAGCAATCGTTGCGGCTGAATCGCGTTTTTAGATGGCACAATGGGCACGAATTATGAGATCGCTTAAATTTAGAAACGATGCATGCCGAAGCATAAAATTTGACACATGACCTTCTTATGCAGATAACGAGAATATATGTGGCCACGCAATGCTAAATCGAATGCCGACTTTGATTTCCAACGAATGTGGCTTTAAGCAATTATTTCACGTGACAGTTTAGAATAAGCACGCCCCATTTCACAGCATCAGTGGTTTGTACTCTCCTACTAAGAAAAGTTTTGCTATGAGACACAACCTGATAATTGCAGAAGAATAAGCTAAATGTATTACGTCAACATTTAGTCCACGTGATCACTGTTTTTAAAAAGGCAACTATACAAGATAAAATATCAGTCTGTAGACAGCATCACCGCAATGATATATGTTTTAATGCTTCTGGCAATACTCAACTTGATAAGATACACCTAAATGTTTGTAAACGCTGTACATATCATAATTTAACAAGAAAATATCGTTCGTGTATACTCGCGAGAAAGTTGGCTTGCTCCGTTGTTTTTTTATAGCACCCCATGAAATGGTGCTTGAAAAGGAAATGGTGGTGCTTAATTGCTTTGTGAATTGCCATGTAAGCATTGGTCCAGCAGAAATTTTAACATGAATCAAATATGCAAATAGGTAGGCCTAATTACATTGTGCAAAAAAGTGGTAACTGGGTATGACGTAAAAAGTTATTACAAATCAGCACTACATTTAAACCTTTGTTGCAATAGGGTCAAAACGGGCACCACTGACAGGATATTTATTAGGGCTGTCATTGGTATCAAATTATTTCGATTCGATTATTGATTTTTTCCCCCCGATATTTCGATTCGATTCGATCCGATTCGATTTAATAATTATGTAATAAAACATGAGCCGTGAAAGTACAGTAAACTCATGTATTGTGTTCTACTTTATGATAACTAGGGGTGTAACGATATACCGGTATATCGGTATATTGCAATATATTTTGAAAACTCGATATATCGCGATACAACTTCCGGATATCGATATTTTAGCGATAGCGGTGGTATAACAAGAAAAAATTCTTGACACTTGCCTTTATGTCTATATTGTTAATGGCTCGGAAATTATGCCACTGGCGGTGTATATATTACGAAAGCACAATGCGTGCACGCCGCATACAGTATTACTGGTAAGCGCCACTGCATGGAGCACTGCGCGCTACTACTGCGCGGGCAGAGTGGGGCAGACTGTGTGCGCGAGGCACAGAGCACGGCAACTAGGGAGTCTATTAGTCGGCGTTCGATTTGCTTCCCCAGAGCCACCTGGTTAACCTGGGTACGATCGAACGCATCTGGTTAGGGAAGATAAACGAACGGTTTTTGGGTTAACCCGGGTTAATTTCTGGATGCCAGTGACAAGAAGAAAAAGATAATACAACAATCTGCAATCTTATTATTAATGAAATTAAGAATGAGCGGCTCAAGCATAGAGAGCATGTCCAGTAATTAACATCATCCTATCCACTCCACGTCCTTGAGAAACGGGACGCGGAAAACTCAGTTAAAGGGGGTGGGCTTGTGGTGTCGTTATAAACAGTCATTCACACTGCTACATTCATGCAGCACTGATCCCGCACTGATCTATGCACTGATATTGTCGCCATGCATGGTGCATGGTTGCAATGGATTGTGGGATACTTACCCAAGCCCCCCCCAAGTGAGCACCTCGGCGAGTCGCTCACTTCATTCTCACCCGGGTTGACCCGGGTAACGAAAAAATACCACGTGACTGCCAAATCGAACGAATTTGGGGCTGGCCCGAGTAGACCCAGGTTAACTTGGGGAAGCAAATCGAACGCACTATATATATAGCCTATGCTCACCTGAGTGCCCGCGCGCGCGCGATACAAGCTGAAGCGAGCACCCACTGTTTCAGTTTCAGTTTCAGTTTCAGTATCCAGTATTAGCCAATTATGCAGCAGGGGTATTGTGTATTCCAGCTACGTCAGTGCCTTCCGAGAGGGTATTCAGTACAGCGGGTGACATTGTTACGACACAGAGGGCTGCACTGTCAGCGGAAAAGATTGCCGTGCTTCTGTTTCTCAAGAAAAACATGAGAAATGAAATCATGTCATATAATACAATATATGATGATATTAAAACCATCAAATTGTTACTATATCATGCATGGTATACACTTCCCAATTCGTATTGGAAAATATTGCAATACAGTTTTGTCGTATTGCAATATATTGCAATACGGTTTTTGGTCGCAATACTCACCCCTAATGATAACTATATGCATTTTATACATTGCTGTGCTTAAATGCAACATGGGTGAAGTATATTTACCTGAATTCAACCAGATTGACCCACAGGCACTTGAAGCGTTTCAATAAAATATAATGCTAAATAAATACGAAATCTATTTACTACCAAATTCTCAATGTTTCTATACTCTCTTTCACCTATTATTGCCGACAGTTTCCTGTAAATTCCATCCACATCCTTTGTGCAACCATATACGCTGCCGGCGCCATTGCTCTCGCGGCTCCACTGTTGCACGCTTACACTAATATATATAGTGTATATATATAGATACTATAAATAGGTGAAAGAGAGTATAGAAACATTAAGAATTTGGCAGTAAATAGATTTCGTATTTATTTAGCATTATATTTTATTGAAACGCTTCCAAGTGAGTGTCTGTGGATTGACCTGGCATCGCGGCGATGGCGAAGCAGCAGACATGCTTTTACGGTAGCCAGATTTTATCATAGAGATCAGTGAGACAGGATACGCACCAGAGACAATAGAACACCACAGTTATTGATTGTCTCTGTATGCATGCGCCCTGCACTACTTCCAATAATGGCGGCGTTCAATCAAAAATGCTACCGATGCTTCGCTGGCTACATTTTAGCACAAACAAAAAAAAACTCCGATCGCTATTTTTCAATTTAAATTTCGATATCGATATCGGACGCAAATCCATCGTGATTTATCGATGAGGTGGGCATCGATGACAGTCCTAATATTTATAACAATGTTACATAACAATGCTGATATTTAGCATAAAAATTTTCGGGACACTGTACTTGTACTACTATAATTTATAAGGCGGGCAGCACACTTCACCATTTTCGTTGCTCGTACAGGCAATTTTCGTGGTCGCCACAAAAATGGCCAAGTGTGTGGGGGCCGGCAACGACCACTCACCACGGAAATTTAGTGGTGACCACGAGTTGCCGAGAATCAAACCGGTTTGATTTCTCACCACGAAAATTGCTCGTGGTGGCAACTTATGGTGAAGTGTGCTGTGACGCGGCAACGGCCACAAAAATTGCCGACCACGAAATTTGCTGCTAGCTTAAGTGTATATATCTACAATTACCTATATTTACAATTTTGCAACATACATAATTTTCTAAAAACAAGAAGCATGCACTAGGTAGGGTCAATACTCTGCTAATAAGGGGCATGTTGCAGTTTATTTTCCATAGTTACATACAATTTTTCCCATATATGTTAATTTCATCATGCAATTTGATGAAAGATACTAAGTATTTGCATTTCTATTTAGCCATTAAACAGACAAAAATGATACTAATAACCGTTGCACGTTATTAAATTAAAACTTTGGTTGTAAGTGTCCAAGTACAGGTGCAAAAATTAGGCATATTCAAAACCTCAACAAAACTGGCATATCAATTATTCCTCGGATGCAGCCATTTTAAAATATATTTGTACAGTGTTGGGAGTATTCTGTTGTGAAACTCCATGTGAGTTTAATCAATAATCATAAAATAACAATATCATAATGAATATGTACTCAAGACAATAATATTG